GGCCATTTTGGATGCCTCGTTAGCGAGGCAAAACAGCGGTCACCATTTTGTTTTAGCGGTGGCCATTTTGGAACCGCCAATCAGCTGTTCGTTATGCTTTGATCGCGTCCGCGCGATCATCGCATAGCGAAAAAAGCCCATAGGGGCCATCGCTGAGCAAACGCTCCAGCGATGGCCCGGGAACCCCTCATTGTGCTGTTTCATCGCATAGCGAAGCGCTCGCTATGCGAGGCACCACTGTAATTTTAAAGCCTTTCCTAGACAGCCCGTAACGGAAGAAGCCCTGCCAGAAGAGAAGGGTCTCTTTGCCTGCTTGCAGAAGAGCCGCCAAGATGGGGCCACCCTGGCCTCCAGTGGGAGGGATTTCCTCAGTCTCTGTGGAGCAGCCACAGAGAAGGCCCCTCTCCCGTGATCACCGTCTTTTTTATCCGACTTCTTCCCCCAAACGATGCTTACATTGAATTGTGGCACCTTCTTTTTCTTTCATCCTTCTCTGATGAACGAAATGCCTGGGAGGTTTAGATCTGGCTCAGGAGGGGTCCCCATTTCTGCCCCTGTCAGCTTCTGAGTGGCGTCTGGATTCGGGGGAGACGCGTCGGCCTCGCTGCCCGGCGCCAGGAACTTCTCAAAACCAAAGAGAGTTTGGCGCTTCTCCGGCCTGTGGTTCGGTGTGGAAGTGTCGGAGAGGCCGAAACTCGGAGGAGGAGAAGACGGCCTGTGGTCCAGGAGGCTTTGAGTGAAGGAGACATCCAGCTGGCTGTATGACCAGCGCACGCATTTCGCCATGGTCAGATCCCGCTCATTCTCCGGTGGGGAGTCACTTGTGTTGCCTGTGATTGGAGATAAGACCACTTTGCCACCCGAGGGTGTCCCTGACTCTGGATTTAAGGTGGAGCTTCGGGAAGAGGCTCTGATTCTCTCTTGGCATCACATCCAACAGGACTTTTATCCTGAGTGGTTTCCAGACCAACGTTCTCTTTCCCTTCTTTTACGGAGAGCTGTAAGGCGAGAAAAGGACAAACTTAACCTTCACAAACAAGCTGGCTGGATAGCTCAGAGAGTTAGGAACTTGGACAGATAAGCACAGTGTCCAGACAAACATGTAAATAGAGACAGAAGGACCGTATCTCTCCCTAGGATCCTTCTTGGCTCTTTAGATCATCCAACTGGGCCTGCCTCTCGGTCCCCTTGCAAACACAAATGATCGGATCACGAGTCAGGGCCTTCTCTGTGAAAGCTCCAGCTCCCAGGTTTCGCAATGCTCTCTCTCAGAAGGTTGACGTTGGCCCCCTCCCTTTTATCCTTCTGCCCACAACTGAAGACCCACCTTTTCAGGCAGGCTTTAGCTCGACTTTGAATATGTAACCTGTAAAATTAAGTCCCTGGCTGCTGATTTTTAGCTTTCCAGCTTGTTAGATTGTTTTTTTTTAAGTCAATGAATTTTCTATATTGTGGTGAGGATGATACATTATCATTTAAAACGGTCAATGAAATCAGTACTAAAAACACATTCAAAAACAAGGAGCACAGCAATCCCTTTAAATTTTTTGTATTATTCTTGTATTCATATTATTCTTGTATTCATCTTGTTTGGTTTTGTCTCTTTTCTCCTCGTTTCCTCTTCCTCCCTAGAATTCACATTTATTTTTGTCGTGCTTTCATAAAATTTTGTATTCCTCTTGTCTTCATCTTGTTTGGTTTTGTCTGTTTTCATTAAGGCAATTTTAAAAAAAAATAAAAATAAAAAACAGGTTATCTGGGCTACCCAGAAATCAATAAATGGGTCTGAAGTGGACCAACCTACAGAATTCATTGCCACGTGATCGTCTCTCTATTAGGTGAGGATCTCACAGGAGGCGATGCATTGGAACCTGAACTCCAGTTCCTCCAGTCCCGCATGCCAGGTCTTGGATCTTGTCCTATGGCTGGTGAATGTCTGGCTGTGTTGTTCATTTTTAGGAGGTGGCCCGTTTGTTCTGAATGGAATTTAGTGTCGCCGCCAAAACAGAAGCCTCTTTCACCAGGTGCGACCTCTCGGAGTGGTGCTGGTGGTGGCCTGTAGAAGATCAGCCTTCTTCTTCAGGATCGTGGCTTCCAGAGCCCCCGTGGCAGCAACTGCCCTCGGCAGGTTTGGGCCGGCTCTCTCCCGCAACGCCTCCAGCTCAGTCAGAAGAAGATGCACTGTCTCATCTTCTATCTCCGTCACTGGGATGCTCTGTAAAAGGTCCCTTGAAATTTCCAGAGCTTTCATCCGGACCTTGTCCTGGCCACTCGAGAAATAGGTTGCCGTTTTTCTCAGGAGGTCCACGCTCCGTTTGGGGCTTTCTTCGACCAGGTGCTGGCAGAGGTCTACAATAATTTTTGTGGCGCTGATGTTGGTCGTCTTACACAGATGCCGAAGCCGTTTTTCTGCCACAAAATCCAGAGCGTGGGAAAAAGCAACTCTGCATGCCTCCGAGACTTTGCAGTTGCGGTCGCTTTAATGGACGAGCAGGAGCGCCAAATTTTGCTTCACCTGCTCAGCAAAAAAGTCGGGCACTGCCATTTAGCCCAGGTGGCCAAGACCGCAAAGAGGTGGAAGGCCGCCCTGCGAACGTGGTCATCCTCATCAGACAGGAACACTGTGATGTTCCTGCAGATGTCTTTGAAGACGGAGGCCACTTTGCCCCACCTGAGGTGCTGGAGAACAAGGGTCAAGGTGTCCAACACTTCATTCACCACCGGGGCGTCGCGTAGGTGACCGCAAAAGACTTGAAGTATCACCTTCTTTTGTCCTCTTACCTCAACCGGTGCCCAAAAGAGAAGCCGGCCCAAGCTTCTCAGAGCCATGAGGCGGATGTCCGGCTGCTGGTCTTCGGCTCGTTCCTTCAGGACCGGAAGGAAGGCTCTCAGCTGGATCCTTTCTTTGCTGCAGAGCGGAATCACCTCGGTCAAGATTGTGGTTCCCAGGAGCCGGAGGTTTGAGGATCCCGACTTCATCCAGGGAAGGACCCTCTGGATGAGCACGCCCTCGAGCATGCCAGTCTGCAGCAGGCACCCGGTCAACATGCGGAGGCCCTCCGGGCAAGTCGCAGGATCCCCAAACGAGCCCCAGGACTTCAGTTGCTCCGGGGGAGAGTATAGGAGCTGGAGAAAAGCGTTCTGCACCATCGCCTCCATGTGCAGCCCCAAGAGCACTTCATACATGGCACAGATGGCCTTGAGGTGTTTTACTCCCACTTCCTCCTCAAGCTCTTCACAGCCAGAGCCAGAAATGGTCCCCAGGATGGATGGCTGGGTCATGAAGGACAGCAGCTTCGGGAGGATCAGCAAGGCCAGGGATGGGTCCCCACCTAAGTGCCTCCAGATCCTGCTGGTCCCACAGACCAGCGGAAGGCGTTGGCGGAGGAGGTGACTCACGACGGTGTCCAGGTGCTGGTGGGCCAGGGTGAAGATCGCCTCCATCAGGACCTCCTCCAAGCCATACTGCGTGGTGGCCGGCAGGTGGCTGGAGAAAAGGTCCAAGAGTCCTGGGATCTGGCTCTTTATCGTATCCCCACGGTTTTGGACGAGGGCAAGCAGCCAGCAACCTCCAGCCGTGGGACAGATGGGGATCCTGGAGGCGAGGTCTTCCAGGAGGGCTTCCGCGAAGTCCAGCACCTGATCTTCAGGGAGGTGGGTGCTCACCACCTTAGCCAGTGTGGCCGAGGCCCCAGTCAGATCAGGGGGGACTTCCGCTTGCAGATCACAGAGGGCGGAATCCAATTCTTTCTTTTCCTTCTCTGTGATTCTTGACCAGCCTTAAATGCGCACCAAGTGGCTGATGCCCTTGGCCGCCCATCGCCGGCACTCGATGGAGCTCTCCCAGGTATAGGGGGCTAGGAAGACCACCCGGCCACCATAGGCTTTCAGATTTTCTCCCTCCGGAAGACCTGCAGTGACCTGGAAGGCAGCTAGCACCTGGCAACTGGCCTGCAGGGCCCTCTCTCGGATCCA